ATAATAATAACACATGATAATTATAAATTTATAATTTTAAATAACATTATAATTATAACATTATTGTTTATTCCACCTAGGTGATATGCTTCAAAGATGTGTATCTGAGAAAGACTTATTCGTTGATGTTCACAAGAAATAGTGCGGTACAATATATACAGAATTACAAAGACTAAATCTAATCTAATTAGGAAAGAATATTTGTATAATATATTTACAATTATAATACTGATCTTAATATTGATCTAGAGAATCTTGAAATGAACTCCACCAACGCGGCCGATTGCCGCGCGTTTTATTCGAAGGAGTGAAATATTCACCCTATCTGAATATTGAATCTTCAATTGTTAACAACTAATTAAACTAACTTCCTAACCATTACTTGGTAAAAAAAAAAAAAAATCTTGAAATTGTGGATTCGTACCTGAATCTGAAACTTTACGGTGGTGATTTTCTATCTTTAATACTAGGCACCTAGGTACGTGCTTGCGTTCAATCATGGAAATTCTCTTCGAGTTGCCTGGATGCTTAGATCTGGTGAATGTGATGGCTTCAGCATGCTGTTTGAATTAGGAATCATACTAGCCCCCTCTCATCTCTCTTACTGATTTTCTCCTTTTTTTTTTTTTTTCCTTAATGCCGTTGGCTTTTTTCCCCTTCATAGTTAGGATGGATGGTTAAAAATGAAAGTTTTTTTTTCTTTTTTACGAGAGTGCTTTTCTTTTTCTATTTTTATTTTTAAAGATTTTTACCTTGACTTACTTGACACTTTTTATTGGGATCTACCTTTTTTTTATAGAAAAATGACAACTTGAACACAATATTTGTTGAACTTAGATAAGTTATCATGTTTATTTCAACCATTGAAAGCATAATTGGGGACAAAGTTCCTAACTAAAATTTTTTGTTCCAACTAATTTATTTTGTCTAGATGGAATATGTTGGAATGCGGTTTGAGTGCTAATTCCCAAGTTCTGCATCTTGGATGAAAGCAGGATCAACTTCTCCCATTGCTCTTCACTGCTCAGACTATAATTTTCCTTTTCCCTTTCTGTAAGGAATGAGGGTGGAGATAAGCTTTTATATTCAATGCAGCTAAGCAAAGGGTGGGGTTTGGTTTTGATTGAATCTAGATAGGATTTGAGTCGGTATTAATAGTCGATTACAACAGGATCTGAAACAGGAAAAAAATTGTGGTTTTGTTTGTGCCGTGTCAGATTTGAACGTTGAAGTGTTAGGACTAAAGCTCAGCCAGCAATGCGTTGATGCTCCTTGTTACTTTCTATTTAGTGAAAATGATACTTTATAATTATAATGTATTATATTATATTATTTTTTTATTTAAAAATTTATTTAAAATATTGTGTATATTTATTTAATTAATAACACATACTGATTGTAAATTTATAAATTTAGATAATTTTATAATTATAACATTATTATTTATTCCTAGGCAACTACGTAGGTGCTTGCTTTCAATCATGGAAATTCTCTTCGAGTTGCCTCATTGCTTAGATCTGGTGAATGTGATGACTGCAGCATGCTGTTTGAATTAGGGATCATACTAGCCCCCTCTCATCTCTCGCGCTGATTTTCTCCTCTTTCTTTTGTCTTTTTATTTTCCTTATCTTCCGTTGCCTCTTTCCCCTTTATGATTAGGATAGATAATTAAAAGTAGGAGTTCTCTTCTTTTTCATGAGAGG